TAGATATTCTTTTATATTCTATTTATTTGTCAACAAAATTTCAGAAACACTCAAAAATTCATGTTGTGGAATGCCTAAAAGTTGTGAATAAATACTCTGAGATGTATGTATATATGAAATATATACATACACATATACACACACATATATATATTTACAACTGGAAATAGAAATTTCTGCCAAAATTTGAACTACATGATATACATACTTACCTGTGCACAAACACACACATGTAGTGGATGTGTGTATATATGCTTATAGAATAAAATTTAGACATCAAATAAACTATTTTTCATTGCAAAATTCTACATTATTGTCTTTTACACTTATCAATCCTTCTACTTATGCATTTACTCCAAAGAGAACATATTTTTTTTTTTTATAATATAGTTTTTTCTTTATTTATTCTATTTGTCTGATTTTCAATAACATTTCACTCTTTTAGGGCTTTCTGTTTTTTTCATAATTGTGTATCATTTTCCTTTTTCTTCTGAAGTTTTGTTTTTGAAACTGCTATCCCTCGCACCATCTACTCAGGTGATACATCTAAGCTTTATCTCTTCTACTAAACACCCAACTCTCTCACTCCTCAATAAACTAATGAAGAATCTTAACTGGCTTGTGCTCTACAACAATCTTGATATTATTTTTTGTTTGAAGTTGGAATGTATACCATCTTAGATACATTATTTCTTTCTTCTTTAGTTCAAATGTTGTTACCCCCCCACTTTCATGTTTTTGTGTGTGACTAGTCTATGTATATTGAACTTTTCACCCCAATAATTAATATATATGTCATTGTTATATATATATATATATATATATATATATATATATATATATATATATATATATATATATAAATCAATCAAGAACAGCAACAATCAGGAAATTGTCTAGAGACTCCAACCTATGCACATTACTCTGAGTTTCACACCACCTTTAATCATCAGATGATTGCAATTCTTTATTCCATAAAAGGTAAATGCCAGTTTCTTTTTTTGTGGGCTTTGTATAGGTTATTTTTGTACTTTTTTTCACCTCCTAGTATATGCTATGTGTGTGTGTAGTTGTTTATTTGGGTAGTAGCCCCACATTAATACTTGATTTTTGAACAAATATATATATATATATATATATATATATATATATATATATATATATATATATATATACATGTATAAGATATGCAAATTGTGTGCTGATGTTAAAAAAAGTAAAATAGTGCTCAATGTAATATAATAAAGCCTTTAAGTGTATATTAAGCACCTGAAGATTGTATTTTGCATGAAACTCCAAGTCATGATACTGCTGAGTGATAATATGTATATTAATTATAGACGTTCATCCTTCACATGCGGAGATGATCATGACTTCGAATCACATGCAGAGATGACTAAATCATTCTGATCTTCATGCTGAAAAATCTGTTGCAGTTGTGACATGGGATTCTGGGGGCTGAACCAGGCTGGGAGGTGGAGCCCTCTTGATCTTCTATTTTCTGGCATCTCTGTTCTTTTTCCCTGATTCTTTTCTCTTCAAAATCAGACACTCCAGGTCTTACAAGGGAGCGCCAGATGGCATGCTCCTCAGCATATTCTTCCCAGGTGAAATGAGGAATACCACAATGCTTGTGAGAGCCTTCAGCATGTTTTTATAATGTTTCTTTGGTCTGCTGTGTGAGCATTTGCCTGTGGATAGCTCACCATAGAGCAATCATTTTAGGATTTATCTGTGCGGTGGATGTTGCCAGCACACTGGAGCTGAGAGTGCAGATAGATGGCACAGATGCTCTCCATCTCAACACACTGGAGCACTTCAGTGTCTGGGACTCTGTCCTACCACTTGACATGGAGCAAGGTCCTGCGGCATCTAATGTGGAAGGCATCAATCTGTTTAGCATGACAGCTACAGATTGTCCATGTCTTGCATGTATAGAGCCAACATGGTAGGACCACTGCTCCATACACTTTGGTGTTAAGGTTCAGTCCTTGTCACTCCAGACTTTTTATCCTTCAGTCTGCCAAATTCTGTAGTCCACTTCCACATTGAATACTACCAAGGTAGTTGAACTTGTTTGCAGCTGCTAGTCTCTGGCCATTAACAGTAATGTGATGTTCAATGTAAGTCACTGTATATTATATATATATATATATATATATATATATATATATATATATATATATATATAGTTTTAAGGTATGCTACATTTATGGGATAAAGTGCTCAATATCAGGAATGTTTAAATATAAAAGTTGACATTGAGTTCATCACATAGCAGTGATAGTCTGTTTCATGCTTAAATACAACTGTGTTTAAGTATACATATAGAGTGCAATGGGTAAATTGTCACCATTTTATTTTTTTATTTCATGCATGTGCATTGTTTGTTTTTGATTTTGTCGACGGCATAGTATAGTAGGGTCAGTTGGGCACCATTTGTGAGGAAAAGACCACCAAGACAATTTATCCATCGCACGCTCTATATATATATATATTACACGAACACATTTAATTAGGTTGGGAATTATGCTGATTCAAATATAAAAGCTATATACATGTAATGTTCTATGCATCCACACTTATTGATAACTATGACTGTTATTTTTTTACTGATAGTTCTATCTAGTACAAAGGCCAAACAAGGTAGAAGGTTACTGAGTGAGATTGTAAGAGAATATTATGAGGACAATAGTTAGATCATGGACTTCTTGCATTAGTGAAGGAGATGGGAATTTAGGATCCACTTTATGGTTGATCTGGGTTTAGTTCTTCATGTTTCAATTTGTCCATTTTTGAAATTGGAGTGAGAAGGCAAGTTAATGAGATAACAACAGCTTAAGTGGTATATGTAGAAAAAATGCTACCTGAAATAGTCACCAGAAATCATGACCATCATGGTATCAAGAGGCCCCACTGGAAAATGCATGGTCTAGATCCTATTCACTAAATGGCAGTACAGTACACCTGATATTATGCACCTACTGATAGAAGATCTTCCTTAGGTGTTACTCAGAGGTTCATATCCCTGACTAGCACGCGGATAATGCCAACCTGGTACTTTCTGGAAGGAAATTACAGGCATACAACCCAAAGTGAAGTTGTAATAAAACATGAATCAGGCAGCAGAACCTCTACATGGGTCATAAATATCATGCTTAAGTAGGGCCCAGGTTTAAACGTGAGGACTAAGAAACCCACTTAGAGAATTAGGGATTACTAAAGTTATTCAAAGTTAAACTGATATCTCCTATCCCCATTTCAGGAAGTATTACTAAGGAAAGAATCACTGGTGTAGAATGAGATGGGCTGAAGGGGTGGCAATCTAACTAATATTGTGGATGTTTTGCAGGATATTGAAAGTTTTGAGCAAAAATGGGAGGAAACCAGAAATTGTTACAGTAGGACAGGAAATTTGGAAAGAACAATGAATTTATTCCCTAAATGGAGTGTTGTGGTGAAGTTTGTGTAAGCCTGAGCCATTGTAATACATTAAAGTTTTAACTTATACTATGACCACTAGTCAACAAAAGAGGAATAGTAATCCTAAAATATTTTACCTTCTAAGAATATCTGATTCGTAGGAACAAGAAATAGAATATATACAAAATATTTTTTTTTACTTTTCAGTCAACACAAGAACATGGAAATGTTTATACTTAATATAGTATACTAGTAATCTACAGGGTGGGCGGAAAGAAACTCCCTATTTAAAATTGTTAATAACTTTATTATTTATTGATTTTCATAAAACCTGTTTTATTTTGAATAGTATAATGGTAGAGGTACAGTATGTTGTTAAAATTTTATCTTTTATGCATTTTCTTCCAATCTGAATATTGAAGGAACCATATTTGTTACTTTGAAATAAAAGCAGAAATTAGCAATCACAATATATCTTGTTTCATAGAAAAAGTTAAGTAATTTTCAATAGGGAGTTCCTTTCCACCCACCCTGTATATATGTGTGGTGTGCATGTGAACTCAAAAAGATTACTACTACAATAAAACAGTGGATAAGTACAGAAGTGTGAGGTGTAATATGATTTTTGTATGTCAAGGGCAAACATCCAATAGAAATTCCTTTTGAACTGTGTATGGCAAAAATGTAATGAGTAGGAAGCCAGGCATCAATCTGGCATTGTGAATTTGCAGATGGGTTTAGGGTTAATATTAGATAAGCCTCATTATCAAAAGAAGAAATTATGGGTAATGAAGTTTTGATTCAAGGTGATGACACAAACTTCATGACATGTTTGTGGGATTTGATCTTTCAAGATCACTGTCCAATGACCGGTGTTAACAACTTTGAGAAAGACAGGATTGAATATTCAGAGTTAAAATAGGCTAGAAATGTAAGCCTCCACTGAGGAAAAGGTGGTACTAAAATGTGCCTCATCTGTACAGAATGTGGGCACAAAAGCCTTTCAAAATCTGGCTCGATTAGTCACACATTTTGTCATAATGACAACACAATTTATCATTATGATATCTAACCTTATTTTGCTTTTAATCTATGTAAAAAAAAAGTGTGCAGATCTGCAAGTGATACCAATGAAACAAGAGGTAAACTTGCTTGCAAAACCTATACCTTAAAATCTAAGTCACTTGTAGAGACATTATCAGTGACAAGGAAATCAAGAGTAATGTTATGGAAATGATCATACGTGGGTATGAGTTGACTTTCCACTACTATGTATTTATACACAGGCCTAAATTTGTATATGTACACTGAATATGTATATAAATTTATTAATATGCATGTGCATGAATGTATATAGTGCTGAATATTTTAATATATGAATGTATGTTGTCTTGTGATATTTTGTCTGTTTAAACTAGAATATTGATATTTCAATATGCATGCTGCTTCAAAGCTCACTTTGCTGTGAAATCAATATTTTTTAAAATTCTAAACACTTTAAACTAACAGATAATTTTTTTTATTCATTTTCAAATTTAACTTTTTGGAATTTTCATCATTTTTTATTGTTCATCATCATGTCTTCCTTTTATTTCTTCCTCATCTGCTTCAGCCTTTCACACTTCTCTCCCTGTCCTTTTCATTTATTTTACCCATCCCTCATTTATTTGTCTTTCTTTATGTTTTTAATTTCTCTCATTCATCCACTTTCATTTTTCTTTTCTTTTCTACTATTTTTTTGTGTTTTCTCACATTTCTTTATCTTCTTTCTCCCAAATAGATTTTATTTTGTATCTTTAATTTTTTTTATTGTCATTGGTATTTCCTCTTCTTATTTTCTTTTTTTTGGGGGTCATTTCTTGAATGTTTATTTTCCCCTTACATTGTTAATTTCTTTTTTTATTATCTTTCATATCTCTTTTTTTTTTTTTTTTAGTTCTTTTTTTCTTTTCTCTTTTCATTCTTATTTTGCTTCTTCTCATTACTCTACTTTTGCTATTTCATCCTGCTTTCATTTGGGTTATATTATACATGCATATCTTTACATGAGGGTTAAGTTCATAATCATCTTTATGGAATCATTTGAACAATAATAAGTTCATTCTTGTGGGTAATCCTGACTTTCAACTTAAAGAAAATTAAGAATGTTTAAAGTGAAAAATTACTTTCTTGAAAATTTTGTGATGTGACTTCTTATATATTTGAAAATAAACTGGAATCACTTCTGATGGTATATTAGGAAATAAAATAAAAACTACTAAATTGTTTACTGCTTGATTTTTCATTTTCTATTTACATATATACTATGTAATATGAAGAAATTATTTATAGAGATGTTTGCATGATGTTTTATATCTATGCATTTTATATGCTTCTCATTTTATACAAATTTATATTGAAAAAATATTTTGCTTTTATATGAATATATATAACCTCATGTAAATATTCAAAATACTTATCTAGATATGATATGGTGATTTTCTCACTTAGCTGTGTCACTAGGCCAAAAATATAGGGCCCTAACTGAGGATCATACTCACTGATTTAGTAAGCATAGCATAAGGTTGAAAGCATGATTTTTTTAAGCATAGCTTAGATGTGGCACAAAGTGTGGAGCACACAGTGAGGATCGAACTCACCACTTGGTCATAATTGATCTAGTGAAACAAGCTTGCTAACCATTACACCACATCAAAATGTCCATATGATATGAAAGTATTTATTTATAGAAAAGGCACAGGGAAGCAACTTTAAGGTTGGTGGGAAAATGACTGAAGCCAAGACACCAGGTCAGGACAAATAATATTGCTGATTCTTTAAATTTTATCAAGTATATCTAAATATATAGCAGAAACACTGGACCATATGTGGCAGCAATATTCTAAGTATGGACAAATGGTAGACATAGATTTTGGAGAGAAAAATTGTCTATCTTATATATCTATGATGATACAGTCAACCAACTTTCTTAGAAGCAGACCTAGCAATGGGTTTAATATAGTCTTCATGTCAGCCAAGAATGTTAGCCCGAGACGGTGCAATGAGTCATTCTCTTGGAGGTTAGCATCAGCCATGCGGATGGAAGGCAGAAAGGTGTCCTTTAAATGATTAATAGAGAGCAGTTTTTGTTTTGAAGATGTTAAAATTAACAAGCCTTTCTTTACCCCAGTTAACAACAAACCATAGGTCATTCTTGAGATCAGCTGCCAATTTGACCTTATCAAGATAGGGAATGCCTGAAAAATCTTTCTCTTGTCTTTTATTTCTTTCCCCCCTCATTCTAAACTAAAAGTACATTAATGACCCTTTTTTCAATATTTAATACTGCATAAATCATAACTCTATATTATACATATCTGTATTCCTTGCATAGCAAACCTGCTGTCAATCTGATTGCACATATGTAGAGAGTAAATCCTACTCTTCTTTTTCATTGTAAAAGAAGTCAGTTTACTTTAGTTACATAAATAAACTCCTACATCTCTAATTACTCCTATAACCAATGTTCAGTATTATAAAAAAACCTATGTGAAATTTTAAATGTAACAGAAATGCTGCATATTTTTCTGTTTAACATTCATATCTCTTTCCCTGATGAAGTTTAATATAATCCTTAGAGAAAAGGGAATTTCTCCAGCACAAAGGCAAAACATTATAAATATATGATTATGGTTTCTCATTTTGCTTTCATAAGGTCATAACTTTAAGCATTCATGTGTATTTTAAAAATGTTTTTGCTTATAATATAAATAGTAGATTGTATTTTACTTCAAAGTAATTTTTCAATGATTTTAGATGTCTCATTTAAGAAGTACAGACCATATATATATATATATATATATATATATATATATATATATATATATAAAGTGGACACTGAAATAAATTTCTTTCTTTCCTAATTATTATTTATTTACTAGCTGAATTTTACCTGTGCCTTGCTCCATGTCACACATTTTTTGTAAGAAAATGTTGATTGATTTTAAATCATTGTTATAATTTGTGGAGAAAAATGATGCATTTCAATATTACACAATGATCTTGTTGATTTGACCTCCATCTTCTGGGTGGGGGGGGGGGGGTTATCCCCCAGGGATTCCCTTTGATCAAAGTTAAATATACTTATCTAAGTACCCTAGGAGTCATTCCCTTGTTCAAATTTAAATTTAATTTATATCAGAATAAAAAATTCAGTTATGGGAGACCCACTTTCATCAAAATGAAATATACTTATCCAAGTACCCTGGTTAATGTAGTTTAAGAATATATATGGTTATGGGTGTCTATCTCTAAAATCCTCAGAGGAGTTTGATAACAGACAGACATTGGCTACAACTTTATATATATATAAATTAACTCAAGATAATTTGTTATTTACCTCAAACATTACCTGCCTTAAAAGATTAAAAAAATTAATAGGCTCACTCTATGTGTTTGGATAATAATAATTAGGTGAACTGGCTGCTGAGGAAAAGAAGAGTGGATGTTTTTGCCTTCAGAAGTTGAATTGGCTTGTAGTTTGTTCTTTTTTAAGTCAAGTCCTTGATTGAGCATGTCGGTCTAGACATTTGAAACACCTTCAATGTCTTCCAAAACAAATCTATAGTTTGCAATTTCCTCTTGCCACCATTGTATTTTTGCATTGTTAAACTGACACTGGTCTGAATATGTCAGAGACAATGAAAGGACAGCTGTGGAGGAAATAGTCCAATTTGGATATGGCACATTTTTTGGCATATACTTTGTGCTGAGTGTTGGAACAATTCTGTTCCATTGGACTGAATGTGTACAATTATTTTATTCGGACCTCACTCACACCAAACTTCTTGACCTCATCAGACAACAGAAATCACCACTGCTAAAAATAAAATCCGAACCAACACGCCCAGATGAGACACTTATTGAAGAACTCTAAACAGACCTAAACAACATACAGATCACTCTAAAATCTGTCACCCCAACCACCAAAAATGAAATCAACAAATCATTAACTATTAGCTAATGATATGACTATAATCTATTTGTAATGTAGTGAGGGATATAGAAAAAAAAACTTCTATTCTGGAAATGATGTAAATCATTTCATTACAGACCTAAACAATGCATATATGATCCACATCAAGCCAGAACTACCCAGCCACCAGGATTGAAGAGGAATTCATCAAAATATGCAAACAGCTTCTATCAGAAGGCATATTTTAACAAATGGTAGACTCTTAACATGATACGTCCTGTTTTGAACGGTTGAAACATACCTTTCTTTAGCAACGTACAACAGCTATATGTCAAATTTTCAGCATCTCAGTTGAACTTGGGATTTTGAGTGGCAAGACAGCGGGAAATTAATGGATTTCACTGGCCATCTAGAAAACACAACCAGAGAGGCTATGGTCCACTTAAAGAACAAATTTAAGAAGGATAGTGCACAAGAACCTGCCATATGCCCACTGATACTGTTTTCTCACTCATGAGCACAATGTTAATGAATGAGAAGGTGAAAGCCAGGGTGCCAAATGTATACCCACACCTGATAAAGACTATAGATAATCACTATAAAACAGGTAGCATAGCTGGTGATGCCCAAAGATACCTTGATCGCAGTATCATGACTGATAATGTGATCAACCCCAACTTGATCGTATATTACATGCACAGACCACAACAATGGAGTCAAGGGAATGTGCCAAACAAACTGAGGCAACCACTAAGAATAAGTAGACAACCATCTCACTCATAACAGACAAATGACACCACACCACACAATGGTAGACTCTTGGTGAACTGCAATGACTATTAGGCACACGGAACTTGCAGCCGCAATCCAGAACCTGCCATATGCAAGAATTATACAATGGGTTGAACAAGTTTCCATAGAGGCAACTGTCCACATCGTCAACCACCTTTTGCTCAGGTTCACTCACTGAGATGGGAAGTGCAACATCAACAATTAACACCTTCTCCCTCATCGAGGAGCAGGAATTTCTATACATACCAGACAAGATGTGATGGTTTATCTCTCAGTCCACCACACTCAACATCACATATTCAACCTCCAGCAACACTCCATGTTGCAGTCAACATTCATCAAAACCACCTCCATTATTAAAGGCATCACATTCTCAGACATAGCAATGTTGGATGCTTGATACTCTACCTGCATTGTGCCAATCTTTTGGCTACCTGAAGATGTCAGGCAGGACATGACACATTTTGATGTCCACATGAAGGGAATAAATTGCAGCATCACTGCCTTGGGTGAACTAAACTGTGACCTCACTACTGGCAACCGCAATTCACCTGCCTTCAAGGGAATTAGCCTGTTAATCACAAGTCCCATCACACCAGTCCTGATTGGCCAAAATATCTTCCTCACAACACCTTAGATGCACATATGTGATCAACAACCATGATACAGCCATGAAATTCTCACTCTGGTCCTACAACACACATACAACATCAATTATACCAGCTCCTCAATAAGAAACAGTGAGACCCATGTGAGTACAGGCCAACAAAAGTACACAGGCTAAGACAAAATACGAGACTATCACTCCCAAATCACCCAAACCACAATGAGTTGTAGAATATGGCAAATCTATTTTATCCAATATAGTGACATCATCAGTACCAAAATGGAGAAAAGGGTACCTTCATCAAGTTCGTCCATATACCAACCTGTAGCCAGTCGTACAACAAAAAGCAACACCCAATCACTCAGGCTTTGGAAGCTGATGCTGATGCTGAAATCACCTGCATGGTCACGGACAGGATTATTGAACCTTGCAATGACTCCAAGGGCTTCAAAAGCCCAGTAGTTGCTGTGTGCAAGAAGAGCGGAGCAGTCCAGGTCACTGACAGCTTTAAAAGAACCCTCAACAAGGTTGATCTTGACCCTTAACAAATACCATGGATTGAACTATTTAACTATTTACTATTTAACTATTTAATACGATCAGTAAAGGCAATAACTATTTTTGACACTCGATCTCCACAGCGGTTACTTGTAAATCACCATCGATGAACTCAATCACCACAAAACTGCCTTTACATTTAAGGGTCAATGCTACCAATATACATGTTTGGTTTTCAGCCT